ATATAGCCACAAGGCAGTGGAGGTTTGAAATCGGAGTTTTCCTTTTCCTAGATGGGATGCTTCCATGGCTGACGAGCCCCACCTACCTGGAAGTGAAACACATCTTGCTGTATAATCATAATGATAAAGACAACAATAATAAAAATGTGCCATCAAGTCAGTTCTGAGTTATAGTGACCCTTTCTAGGGTTTCCTGGATATAGGAAAGTAGCTTACCATTCCCTTCTTCTGGGGGCTGTATGACTGTGCACTCCATCCAAGGGTACACAGGCTGACTGTTTGTCCTTAGAGGCACAAAGAGGAATTGAACTCTTGACTTACAGCTTCACAGCGAGGTACTCATCTCACTGAGCATACAAACCATATTTTCCACCACTGAGCCATAAGCCCTTCTGTAACACAGTGGTGACATATTCACAATGTTATAAAAGAGCTGTTTGAATATTATTGGCAATACAATATCTGCTTTATGAAGAGATCTGACATTGAGAAAAGTTGCTTGGTCTCATCTGTGGGAGACTAGTAACAACTGCATGTTTAGTGTGGGAAAGGCACTGTCCAGAAAATAATTCTCCATTTAATGTGTTGCAGCCAGTTTCTTCATGGATTGCTGCCTTGTCGTGGCGAAGGGGCTTGAGTAACTCAGAGAAGCTATGGGCTATGCCGTGCAGGGACACCCAAGATGGACAGGACATAGTGGAGAGTTCCGACTAAACGCAATCCACCTGGAGTAGGAAATGGCAAGCCACTCCAGTATCTTTGCCAAGAACGCCCCATGATCAGAAACAAAAGGCTAAAAGATATGACGCTGGAAGATGGGCCCCTCAGGTCGGAAGGCGTCCAACATGCTACTGAGGAAGAGTGGAGGACAAGTACAAGTAGCTCCAGAGCTAATGAAGTGGTTGGGCCAAAGCCGAAAGGACGCTCAGCTGTGGACGTGCCTGGAAGTGAAAGGAAAATCCAATGCTGCAAAGAAGAATACTGCATAGGAACCTGGAATGTAAGATCTATGAACGTTGGGAAGCTGGAGGTGGTCAAACAGGAGATGGCAAGAATAAACTTTGACATCCTGGGCATCAGTGAACTAAAATGGACAGGAATGGGCGAATTCAGCTCAGATGATTATCATATCTACTATTGTGGGCAAGAATCCCGTAGAAGGAATGGAGTAGCCCTCATAGTCAACAAAAGAGTGGGAAGAGCTGTAATGGGATACAATCTCAAAAATGATAGAATGATGTCAATACGAATCCAAGGCAGACCTTTCAACATCACAATAATCCAAGTTTATGCACCAACCAGCATTGCTGAGGAGACTGAAATTGAACAATTCTATGAAGATTTACAACACCTTCTAGAACTGACACCAAAGAAAGATGTTCTTCTCATTCTAGGGGACTGGAATGCTAAAGTAGGGAGCCAAGAGATAAAAGGAACAACAGGGAAGTTTGGCCTTGGAGTTCAGAACGAAGCAGGACAAAGGCTAATAGAGTTTTGTCAAGAGAATAAGCTGGTCATCACAAACACTCTTTTCCAACAACACAAGAGGCGACTCTATACATGGAAATCACCAGATGGGCAATATCGAAATCAGATTGATTATATTCTCTGCAGCCAAAGATGGAGAAGCTCTATACAGTCAGCAAAAACAAGACCTGGAGCTGACTGCGGTTCTGATCATCAGCTTCTCATAGCAAAATTCAAGCTTAGACTGAAGAGATTAGGAAAAACCACTGGGCCACTCAGGTATAATCTAAACCAAATCCCTTATGAATACACAGTGGAAGTAAAGAACAGATTTAAGGAACTAGATTTGGTGGACAGAGTGCCTGAAGAACTTTGGATAGAGGCTCGTAACATTGTCCAGGAGGCAGCAACGAAAACCATCCCAAAGAAAAGGAAATGCAAGAAAGTAAAGTGGCTGTCCAACGAGGCCTTAGAAATAGCAGAGAGGAGAAGGGAAGCAAAATGCAAGGGAGATAGGGAAAGTTACAGAAACTTGAATTCAGACTTCCAAAGAATAGCAAGGAGAGACAAGAGGGCCTTCTTAAATGAACAATGCAAAGAAATAGAGGAAGATAACAGAAAAGGAAAGACCAGAGATCTGTTCAGGAAAATTGGAGATATTAGAGGAACATGATAAAAGACAAAAATGGGAGGGACCTAACAGAAGCAGAAGACGTCAAGAAGAGGTGGCAAGAATACACAGAGGAATTATATCGGAAAGATTTGGATATCCCGGACAATGCAGACAATGTAGTTGCTGACCTTGAGCCAGACATCCTGGAGAGCGAAGTCAAGTGGGCCTTAGAAAGCCTGGCTAACAACAAGGCCAGTGGAGGTGATGGCATTCCAGTTGAACTATTTAAAATCTTGAAAGATGATGCTGTTAAGGTGCTACATTCAATATGCCAGCAAGTTTGGAAAACTCAACAGTGGCCAGAGGATTGGAAAAGATCAGTCTACATCCCAATCCCAAAGAAAGGCAGTGCCAAAGAATGCTCCAGCTACCGTACAATTGCACTCATTTCGCACGCTAGCAAGGTTATGCTCAAAATCCTGCAAGGTAGGCTTCAGCAGTATGTGGACCGAGAACTCCCAGAAGTACAAGCGGGATTCCGAAGGGGCAGAGGAACTCGAGACCAAATTGCTAACTTGCGCTGGATTATGGAGAAAGCCAGAGGGTTCCAGAAAAATATCTACTTCTGCTTCATTGACTATGCGAAAGGCTTTGACTGTGTGGACCACAGCAAACTATGGCAAGTTCTTAAAGAAATGGGAGTGCCTGACCACTTTATCTGTCTCCTGAGAAACCTATATGTGGGACAGGAAGCAACAGTTAGAACTGGATATGGAACAACGGATTGGTTCAAAATTGGGAAAGGAGTACGACAAGGCTGTATATTGTCACCCTGCTTATTTAACTTATATGCAGAATACATCATGCGGAAGGCTGGACTGGAGGAATCCCAAGCTGGAATTAAGATTGCAGGAAGAAATATCAACAACCTCCGATATGCAGATGATACCACTCTGATGGCGGAAAGTGAGGAGGAACTAAAGAACCTTGTAATGAGGGTGAAAGACGAGAGTGCAAAAAACGGTCTGAAACTCAACATCAAAAAAACTAAGATCATGGCCACTGGTCCCATCACCTCCTGGGAAATAGAAGGGGAAGATATGGAGGCAGTGACAGATTTTACTTTCTTGGGCTCCATGATCACTGCAGATGGAGACAGCAGCCCCGAAATTAAAAGACGCCTGCTTCTTGGGAGGAAAGCAATGACAAACCTTGACAGCATCTTAAAAAGCAGAGACATCACCTTGCCAACAAAAGTCCGAATAGTCAAAGCTATGGTTTTTCCTGTAGTGTTGTATGGAAGTGAGAGCTGGACCATAAAGAAAGCTGACCGCCGAAGAATTTATGCCTTTGAATTGTGGTGCTGGAGGAGACTCTTGAGAGTTCCCTGGACTGCAAAGAGAACAAACCTATCCATTCTAAAGGAAATCAACCCTGAGTGCTCATTGGAAGGACAGATCCTGAAGCTGAGGCTCCAGTACTTTGGCCATCTCATGAGAAGAGAAGACTCCTTGGAAAAGACTTTGATGTTGGGAAAGTGTGAAGGCAAAAGGAGAAGGGGACGACCGAGGATGAGATGGTTGGACAGTGTCATCGAAGCAACCAACACAACTCCGGGAGGCGGTGGAAGATAGGAGGGCCTGGCGTGCTCTGGTCCATGGGGTCACGAAGAGTCGGACACGACTAAATGACTGAACAAAACAACTATCCACATGGGCTTCTAAATGGGTTAATTAAGAGTGCTTCAAATCATGCCAAAAATTGTAGCTCTAGCACTGTGCCAAAAAGGAGTGGGGCAAATCTAAAAAGTCAAAACATACATGAGGATGCCATAATTTGATTCAAACCAAACAGCACCAAAAGCAATCCAAATAGCAAGCTATATGATCATCTGAATGTGCTCTCGGTTAAAATTTCTTTTGGAAGGGAATACCATTAAGGTGTCTTGAAGAGTTTTGCTTAGCTGAGCAGCATATATAATCATCTGAATGTGCTCTCGGTTTGTTTTGGAAGGGAATACCATTAAGGTGGCTTGAAGAGTTTTGCTTAGCTGAGCAGCATTTGTGAAACCAAAATATTGTAAGTAGGACACTCACATTCAGCCAACATTCCCACAGCTTTGCACTTCTTTAGGCGACACTCCTGACATTTCCTCCTCATATACATATCCATTTCACAGTGGCCGCCATTCTTGCATCTGTAGATTGCATTTTTGGTGATACTACGCCGAAAAAATCCTAGTGATAACACAATTTGAAGTAATGAGAATAAAAACAATGGAAAACTACATGGCTTTTATTAGCAGAGTGATGTGTTTTGACTGTCAAGAGTTATTTACACATATATGACACAGCATTGCGAAGGTACTTAAACAAATAAGACAGACTTTCAGACACACCACTCTATCCACTTATCTAGAACTAGATCCCTCAAAACTTAATAAGATTTATTTCTGAATAACTGGACTGTTAGCTAGGGTTTTTAGAAAATATTTCCACTGAGAGAACAGCTGAATTCAACTGATTGGGGACAGCCTAGCCTCTTTCCAATTGTACTGTTCCCACCCCTTTAGGATCTATACACAGATGAGAATCTTAGTCTGAACTTCGCTGGGGAGAGGACAGAACAGCATGTTTGTATACAGAGAGCATGCAGACTTACTATCTCCATTTTGGTTAGGGTGGTCATATGGAAAAAGAAAGCAGAACTCCTTGCATGGCAAACTATACCTGTTGAAATTTCCTCTTCTGCAAAATTACTTGTGTGTATTAGCTTGTGTGATTGCTTATAACAGGTGAACAAGCCTTGTCCTCTTTTCCATATTACAACCTTAATCACTGGTTTCTATTGGTTTGTCGCCCTGGTTTCAAATAACCAGTAGGAGATTTCCTTTCTAATAGGAGCATTTTTATCACAAAATTCTTTTCCCATTACCTTTGCAGCCTTCACAGGTGAGTGCATTATAGTGGTATCCTGAAGCCTTGTCCCCACAAACCACACAGAGCTCTTCCTGTCCCTTTATTCGTGAGGCAGAATGACTAAGTCTGGGTCGTTTCTGTCCAGGATATCCTCCTCCATCATTATGAGCACCCATGCAGCTGGGTTTACTAAGTTCACAATTGCTGATAATGTATTGTCCATCACTGTATTGAGAGTCCAAGTTGTATGTACCATAGTGAGACTGAGGAGACGGTGCTTGTAATACCGGAGGAAACTGAATTGGTGAATACTGACAGTAAGAACCAGGCTGGCAGTCGAAGTCTTGCAGTGGATAACCAATGTGTTCTGGCAAAACATCTAAATTATTAAGGAGGGGAAAATCACACAAAACAATATGATTTATGACTTGACTTTTCTTAATGCTACATTATTCCTAACATTTATTTAAAGCTGTTTTGTCAACCCTGCTCTCCAGTAAAAAATATTCCCAACTCTTTTTACATAAATCAGTAAAGAAAAGACAAGTGTACATTCCAAAAACACATAATGTAGTACAGATTAAAGAAGGAAGAAGGAAGCAAGGAGACAAGTAGTGTAATCCAAAGGTGTGCCAGTTGTAATGAGTTTGGAATGGGCAGAAATTTTCTGTGATGTCCCATCTCCGATCTGCCAGAACAACTGGATCTGCCTAAGTGATGTGCTGGCTGAGATCAGCTGACATAAGAGGCAAAGAAGGGGAAGAAGCAGGAAGTTACACAGATTCAAACCCGTTTCAGTCCAGACTCACAGTCATTATGCTGGCACAAAATTACGCCAAGGTTCCTGCTGTGTTCCTGCCTCTTCTTTTACATATTTATTCTGTCAGCTACACAATGTCATTACTAAGTATGTACAGATTTGACTTTTTGGCATGAGTGCACCATATATTTTGTTCTTATGGTAGGGCTTGTGTTACTGTGTTGTTTTTGTAGCGCTTCTGCTTGCATGTTTTTTCTCTTGTTTTTGTCTTGTCTGAATGTTTATAATGATCATTTGGGGCATTTGTTTGGCATTTTCAGATGATGCACAGAATGGGGCTTCGTAAGGAGGGAGCCCTACTCTTTTTGTGTAACTTTTGCCTGCATCTATAATAACTACAACTGCAATGCAATTTGTAAAATGTATTTTAAAAAATATTCCTCCCTAGTACTGTATAGCACTATAGTTTTAATCTAGCATAACACTGATTCAGATGGTTAGTGAGTATTGTCACTTGCTAAATTTGTTTTTTAAGAAGAATGAATTTGCATGCTGGCAAATGGGGGAGATAAAAGGATAGTGTTAACCTCAGTGTTTTGGGCTGCAATTTTATATTGCAACCCTGTGCATGCTTACTTTGGAGTAAGACCCACTGGATTAAACAGGGCTTACTTCTAAATGGACATGCACATGGTTGTGCTTTAAAGCCATGTAAGGATCACGTCTGCAAAATGTTCTGAAAGTATATTGCTGTGACATTTTTAGTTATTGCAGTGGTGTAGAAGATATACAGCATACTTAAGAAATAATGCAGCACAATTTTAAAAAAAATTAAATTACCCCCAAAAAATCACCTTAAGCACACTGTTTGGAAGGAAAGTGAATGCATGCTGCAGTCCTGTCTCTGCCCACCAGAGGTTCTCACATACATACACGAATATGTTTGGTTCTCTACATTTTTTCTCTTTGCTCAACTCACCATAATATTGGATTTGGTCACCAAGGCAGTACCCATCTGGTACTGTCACAAAAGTGTTTGCCATGCCGTGGTCCAGCTGCCACTGCTTCATTCACTTTGAGGTGTTCTGTGCTTTTAATGAGAAAACCTGAGGAAAAGAAATACTGCTAGTTTTTTTAAAAATCAACTTTTCTTGCAAAAACCAAAGAGCTACTTGAAGCAAATTAAGGGAAAACAGAGGACCACACAGATTTCAACAAAAACACACCTAAATAGAAATTACATTAAGGTTACAAAATTGTGTAGTATGGCAATAATGGAAGTACCAAGGATTTGATTTATTGACCTACCTTTCCATTCATCTTCTGTTATATTAATGATGGAATCTATCTTCCCATATACTTTTCTTCAAATATGCTGTTTCCATACCAGTAATTAGCCTGGATCCTAATGGTCTCTAAAGACAGGGTTACCATATTACTTGGCTGATCATATTTTATCAGAATTTTAGACATGTGCCTACTTGGACAATTAGCTAGCTAGGATTCCAATTTTTTTTAAACACAGTCTCTAGTTCTTAAAGAATTAGAGATATAGGGCAAAAGATCACTGTTTTTGCTAACTGCTTTGTAAGAAACAAGCTCTTCTGTTTGATTGAGTGAAGACATCCAGAGTTTGACAGGATATTATAGATTTAGAAATTAAAGGGTCATCCTCTCCCCCTTAATGGGTAAATGTTGCAATTGTCGGAAAGTCTGGCTTCAGCTGGTTTACAAAAAATGTCTGCAGAGCTGGCTGAAAACAGTGCATTAAAAAGCAAGGAAGATACAGAAATGAATAGGGATGTTCAACAACACTAAGCAGTCATACAAACCAGGATAAAAGCTGCTAATACTGTATAATAATAATATGGACTTTGGTTTTTGTGGAAAGAAAATTGACACAATAATATTATGGAAAGCTTGCGTTTTTGGATTACAGATCCCATGCTGGCTGGAATATTATGGGAGATGAAATCTAAAAAAACCAAACTTTTCCAAGCACTAATATTATGTATCTTGTGGGGCTTTAGGAGGTCCTGGAGGAGACTCTCAAGAGTCCCCTGGACTGCAAGGAGAACAAACCTATCCATTCTAAAGGAAATCAACCCTGATTGTTCACTCGAAGGACAGATCCTGAAGGAGGCTCCAGTACTTTTGCCATCTCATGAGAAGAGAAGACTCCCTGGAAAAGACCCTGATGTTGGGAAAGTGTGAAGACAAGAGGAAAAGTGGACGACAGAGGACAATGACAGTGTCATCAAAGCTACCAACATGAATTTGATCAAACTCTGGGAGGCAGTGGAAGGCAGGAGGGCCTGGCGTGCTCTGGTCCATGGGGTCACCTAGAGTCGGACACAACTTGACTAAACAACAACAATGGGGCTTTAAGAAGAATCAGGTTCAATTTTTTCTTCCACAGACTTGGAACTTATCTAAGTTCTATCCTGAAGAAAGGAAGCGTTGGGAAAAACAGGAGAAGGACGATGAGGGGAAATGATTAGAAAACTGTATTCGCGAAGGCTTTCACGGCCGGGATCTAATGGTTGTTGTGGGTTTTTCGGGCTCTTTTGAAGATGCCGGCCACAGAGACTGGTGAAACGTTAGGAAGAACAACCTTCAGAACACAGCCAAGGTGCCCGACTTTTGAAGATGCTGGCCACAGAGACTGGCAAAACGTTAGGAAGAACAACCTTCAGAACACAGCCAAAGAGCCCGAAAAACCCACAACAACGATTAGAAAATTGTTATTGCTTCTGTTGTGATGGTTGTTGCTGTATTGCACTTACTTCTCAACATTGCTGGTGCATGGGGGCAGACCGAAACCTAAACATTAGGAGTAAAGTCTTAAAACATTGTAAGTTAGATTGCATGTTTGCAAAATCACTGATTTCTGAAGTTCAGGATACAAATTAGCAGATATTAGCAATTGTTTAAAGTTTTAATTTCAGAACAATTAAATTGCTCATCAAAATAATAATAATAATAATAATAATAATAATAATAATAATAATAATAATAATAATAATAATAATAACAACAACAACAACAACAACAGTTATTGTTGTTGTTGTTGTTATTGTTGTTATTGTTATTATTAAAAACACCAGGCACAATCAATCAAAATTATAAAAACTTTGACTCGTACTATATAAAAGATGCAAGTTTTAATCAATAACCTAACTATCCGTTAAATATCAGTGTAGGATGCATGCTGTTCCTAATATTGCTGGTTTTTTTGTAGCTCTAATTTTATTGTTTCTGAGACCTGCAACTGGTTATAGTACTGTGTGAAATTTCTTGATATTGTTCCCAAGGCCCCAATGGCTACGAGGACTACTGAAGTATGTTTCATCCACAAGTGAAATGTATCAATCACCAGATCTCTGTGAGTTTTGTTAGTTTTCCCAGTTCTTTGTTTTCAACTCTGGCATCCCCTGGAACTGCAGTGTCAATGATCCACACATTTATTCATTCTATTTGTGCTATGTATGGTGTGTTATGTTCAAGATGTCTATCAGTTTGGATCGGGAAATCCCACAAGATCTTGTCTTCATTATTCTCTGATACCTTCTCTACCTGATGTTCCAATGGGTTTTTGGAGGCTGGCAGGTTTTTTTTTTTTTTTTATAATGACCACTATACTAATTTTGCCACTCTATCATGTCTAATTTTGTAATCTATTTGTGCAGTATTTGGACATTTGCAGATGAGGTGTGACACAGTTTCATATTTTTCTTGGCAGAGTCAACATTTGCTGTTAGAATTAATTTCTTGAATCTTAGCTTTCATCACATTGGTTTGGAGCGATTATTCTTTTGCAGCAAAAACAATGACCACTATACTAATTTTGCCACTCTATCATGTCTAATTTTGTAATCTATTTGTGCAGTATTTGGACATTTGCAGATGAGGTGTGACACAGTTTCATATTTTTCTTGGCAGAGTCAACATTTGCTGTTAGAATTAATTTCTTGAATCTTAGCTTTCATCACATTGGTTTGGAGCGATTATTCTTTTGCAGCAAAAACAAAGCCTTTGGTTTCTTTCTCAATGGTCCCTAGTTTTAGCCATGTTCATGTCAAATTATGATCATGCTTTACATCAATATGTTGTTGATTCTGCTGCTGCTGTTGTTATTGTTGTTGTATTACACTACAGTGGTTCTCTTGGATAAGTGGATACTGTATTGTAGAAAAGATGCCAAGTTTGAAACAAGCAGGTGGAAAAACTGTGCAACAATGTAATATGCTTACTTTGCATTCTGTGAAAAAATATGAATGTGCGTAAGATACACATGTGCACATTATGCACATAATGCTGCCTAATAATTTTCATTTACCCAGATTTAGTGAGAATACAGCAACCTAAATTAAAGCCTTCCCTTATAAATAGAGGGAAGAGAGATCAATAAAGCTCAAAGAAGGAATAGAATGTGGAGAAAGATCCGAACCTCTGGTAGTGGAGCAATGGGATCCAGCAAACAGAATTATGTTAAAACATAGTATGTTTCTCTCTCCTCCCTATTGCACTTTCCTCCACCCCAGCACTTTAATAATCTGCTCCAGAGGAATGGGAAACTGTCCAGATCCAAATGTTGGGCAGCTACTAGGGCTACAGGAAAAGGGGAAGGGACATTTGGTCATGCTTTTGTTGCAGTGCCAGCACAGTATTGGGTTTAGCTCATGCAGTCATCTAAAGCACAGTTACAAGATGGGAGATACTTGGCATAGTAACAGTATGAGTGAAAAGAATCTTGGAGTACCTGTAGATCAAAACCTGAATATGAGCCAACAGTGTGATGTGGCTGCAAAAAGAAAAAAAGAGGGGAAAAAAGCAAATGCTATTTTAGGATGTATTAACAGAAATATAGTCTCTAAATTCCATGAGGTAATTTCACTTTCTTGGGCTTCATGATCACTGCAGATGGCGACAACAGCCCCGAAATTAAAAGACGCCTGCTTCTTGGGAGGAAAGCGATGACAAACCTCGATAGCATCTTAAAAAGCAGAGACATCACCTTGCCAACAAAAGTCCGAATAGTCAAAGCTATGGTTTTCCCTGTAGTGATGTACGGAAGTGAGAGCTGGGCCATAAAGAAAGCTGACTGAATTGATGCTTTTGAATTGTGGTGTTGGAGGAGGCTCTTGAGAGTCCCCTGGACTGCAAGGAGAACAAACCTATCCATTCTAAAGGAAATCAAGCCTGAATGCTCACTGGAAGGACAGATCCTGAAGCTGAGGCTCCAATACTTTGGCCATCTCATGAGAAGAGAAGACTCCTTGGAAAAGACGCTGATGTTGGGGAAGTGTGAAGGCAGGAGGAGAAGGGGGCGACAGAGGATGGGATGGTTGGACAGTGTCATCGAAGTGACCAACATGAATTTAACCCAATTCTGTGAGGCAGTGAAAGACAGGAAGGCCTGGCGTGCTCTGGGCCATGGGGTCATGAAGAGTCGGACACGACTAAACAACTAAACAACAACAAAATTCAGCCACATCTAGAGTACTGTGTCCAGTTCTGGACACCACGCTTTAAGATGGATGCCAACGAACTGGAGCAAGTTTAGAGGAGGGCAACAACGATGATCAGGGGACTGGAAACCAAGTCCTACGAGGAAAGACTGAAAGGCCTGGGCATGTTTAGCTTTGAGAAAATAAGACTAAGTGGAGATATGATAGCAGTTTTCAAATACTTGAAAGTTAGTCATACAGAAGAGGGGCAGGATCTGCTCTTGATCATCCTAGAATGCAGGACATGTAACAATGGGCTCAAGCCACAGGAAGCCAGATTTAGGCTGAATATCAGGGAAAACTGTTAGAGTAGTATGGCAATGGAACCAATTGCCTTGGGAGGTGGTAAGCATTCCACCTCCTGAGGTGGAATTCATTTCCTTGAAGGCATTCAAGAAAAAATTGGACAACCATCTTTTAGATCTGCTTTGATTTTTATTCCTGCATTGAGAAGGGGGCTGGACCTGATCGCCTTATAGGCTCCTTCCAGCTCTATGATTGTATGAAAGTAGAGAGCTTGTCCAGTTTGTTCAACTTTTTTATCCTTTCATGTCTAAATGCCACTAAAGTGAAAATATATTTTATTTGATTGCCACTGTGCAGAATTTTGCAAGAAAAATATCTGAACAGCAGATTAGATTGCTTGCTTTCCCTTTTTCATACCATCTATGACAATGTTGAATTCCACTGAGCATTTTCCATTTCCCACAAATATTCTTCAACAGAGAAAAAAATAATGATGTTATAATTGTCCCATTCATGGTCATAATTAACCATCCTACTTCCTTTTCATGCCCATTTTATCCTACCCTGGTGGTGGCAAGGCCTGGCTGAATTGGTGTAGCAGCACAAATTGTTCAGTTGCACAAGGACTTGAAAAGTTTTCCAGTCCATCTTCTCAGGGG